CACCACTTTCAGCTGCCACAACGAATTTCGCCAAAACATGTGCATATCTGTGTTCGCTGGACGAGCAATGCGCAAATCCTAATACAGTGCCTTTTTTCATTGCAGGAGCGAATACAGCTAACCCAAGATAACTGTATACCGTTGCATACGGTAGCTAAATATACTGAATCGAAGTCATCTGTGATAACAAACCAAAGAAACTGAAGATAGGACTTAGGTGCATTGGTTATGGGGGTTACGACCAAATGGGAGCTCACCTGACATAAAAAGGGAGTTCTAAAGTTTACCGAAATTGCTACCAACGAATGACGGCTCTGGAATCACCTTTTAATAAGAGTCGGGAACCGCAACGCTTAATGCTAAAGCGTCCACAGCTGTTTGATTCTGAACGTTTTCGTGCAACGATTTATACATCTTTTGCCTTAGTGGTTGTCACATCTCTGTATGAGATTCTTATGAACAGTGGAATGACTAGATTATGGACAGCTCCCACAGCTTGTGCTCTGATGCTGTTACTGAGGTTCTGGAACAAAGTTCTTATCGTTTTCTTCTTTTTAGACCTCTTCAATTAGTCCGTGCCCAAACTTCCATTACCCTCATTTCATACTCTAACATCAGATTGGATAAACACTCATCTCCAAATCAAGAATGAAAAAATGGGATGAGTCCTCGTTAATCTCATTTCAAGGGAAATACTATGATATCCTAGATATTATTGTGATGGAAACATCAGGAGGATATTGTGCAGCACGTTTGGTGGAAGTATGTTATCAAAAGGGGATTTAACTGAAATTCAGTCGAGTCTGTAATTAACATCACCTCAAAGCGCAAACAGACCCCTTCAGTGATTTCGACGAAATATTTGACGGTAACTATTCGCGACAATAATACTTGATAGGTTCTGTTTTTGCCGCGAGAATATCTATCAAAAAATAAAAATAAAAAGTACTGGATCCGTCGCTTGTAGAAGATCAGCGACGTGGCATTAGCAGGGGTCCTTAAAAAGCTCATCATATATGTGTAATGTCTAACCATTGCATTGTACGAGTAGCTGCCTGATTCTTTTGGAACTCACTTAGGGTGATGAGTTGTAATGCTGTATTCGAGAAATACACTCATTTGCAAATTAATTTGGTTTCCACGAGAGGCTCAACTGAATCTCTCCTTTATAATATTCTACAATTGAATGTGCTGCACACAGGCCGCCTCATGTTTCAGTCGGCACGACATTCGAGATGTCGCAGTATATTTTCATAAAGGAAACTACTCACAAGGTGGGCTGTCGAAGAGTTTTCAGCAACCTTGTGAGTAGTTTCCTTTATGAGAAACTGTACACGTTTTTCATTCTTGGAAGAAAGGGTGAGATCCTTCCCCCGAAAAATGAGGTCACCAGAACTTCTACTTGCCCTTTTGTTATATTTGCGTGAAGCTTCGAAAATAGTCCAATTTGGGTTCAAGTAGAACACAATGTTGACGGAAACCCGGGGACTGCGCCTACCTGATGAGCACCAAGAAGGACGAAACCGATCGTGGGCTGTCGAAGAGCTTTCAGCAACCTTGTGAGCAGTTTCCTAATGCTGTAGCCTTTAGATGACAAGGTTTTCAGGATACCTAATAGAAAGTTATGAGGATCATAGGTTTAAGGGTTAGCGAAACAGTTGACAGGTTTGTACTTCGAACTCAGACTCGGGCTAGTGTGGAGGACATCGTCCCTTTCGATGAAGCAGACGTGGTAACGGTGACAAATAACAACTCAATCGTTACACGTTGTTCGCAATGGACGGATGAATTTTCGGTTCACTCACTGTCAGTAGAAAGAACCAAAGAATAGCCCGGTGCATACGGTCCATTGCTGGCAAGACCAGCTTTTGCATATGCTTGTTTAGATTCGTTGCCAATCGTGAATCGTCGGTTGATTCAACCAAATAATAAATAAGGGAGTGCAAAGATCATTAGATATTCCCCCATTGGGACCAGTATAAATCAAGGTAAATCAAGGTTATATTGGTCTAAAAAGCATTTTGCTTTACAATGACCAAAGGATATTGGTGTGTGTGTGTATGTATACAGATAAACGGAATGATATGACATATATGTTCTATTGTTTGTAATCTGCATCTCAAATGTTGATGAGGGAAGTTGGGTAAGATCTTATGTATTCGTCAAGCGAATGTTTGAAAGTCTCGAGGTTACCACAATCCACAACAGTATGAATGGTTTACGGCTCAGTCGCCTATCCAGCGCTTCTACGTAGAACACTCTCACAGTATGGATGACCATACCCAAAGTCACTGTACACCTTGAGATCCATCTGCAGCTATATGTTATGTTATGTCATAGAATGCATCTCATCAAGTTTTTCTTCAAAGGGTTTCTACACTGAACGGCGGGTTTCCGTCACTTGCATCCATTATGCGCAATAATAAGAATTCATAGTCAATTTGGTATACGTACTTCCACTCGATAAGGAGGAAACCATATTCTCTCTGAGGCACTTCTATTTTCAGCAAACCTAGTGCTTGTCACCTCTTGTTTGTGACACATTTTGCATGAACAAGAAAACTGTCCGCATCGACAGAGTTTCGGTCGTAAAGTTTGCTGTTGTATTTCACTTCATTGAAATATTAAAACTCCTTCAAATAATGATTAAAAATAGTTAACTTTGTGTTCAACAATGATTTGTTAACGAAAAACGAAAAAACTCAATTGCTAGGTGAATTTGTACAGCATAATTAATTATTGCACGGAAGCTCCCAAATGTTCAAGGCTGCAGTTCGTTCAACTGACAAATTCGGATTCTCAGACTCGATTTTCTGCCTCTTGCCAAATGGGTTGCAAAAAATGAAAGATAAACAGCAATCACTCACTTTTTTCACCTGCAATTTTGCTCTGGCTGATATCACAACTTTTTGTCGGTAACTTGAGTCGCACATTTAAACTTTGTTGGATGGTTTATTAAAGCACAGTTGACGATAGCCATGATGTAATCCAACAGGTACATGCACCAGTAATCGTTTATACTGTGGTTGACGGTGGTGAGTTGCAACACGTATAAAAATAAATGCAATGCGAAATGTGGAGCAAGTCAAAAAAGGGGACCTATTGTTTGTGAGCGTCCCTTGGTGAACGTCCGGACGGCGGGGACATGTTTCGTCCGCGGTATTGCTGCTACGCATGTTCCATGGACTTGGGGAGATTGGATGATGTTCTGCTCCCTGCGCGCGCGCGCGAGTCTGTGTTGACTGCGTCCGGTATTCCTAAACATAGGCACATTTGCATATACGTGGGAGTGTCAGCACATGAGTCGTTGCTACGCTTACTAGACGGTACACACAGCAATGTCAGATGAGTCACCTTTGTGTGACGTGGTTGTGAGTGTGGAAAAAAGGCGTGTCGTGAGCCAGCGAGCGACCATGAGCTGAACGGCGAAGTATGTGGGTGAAGAGATAGCTACAGATTCACGCAATCGTAGTGTAGACTGGTGATAAATGATGAAGAACGGAGCGTGCGCGACAGTGAAACCACTCGGTGCTTTCATGGGTGCGTGTAGCCTTATGCAGGCACGCCGCTGTGTGGCCACTGAGTCACCGATTCTCGCGACAATGAAATGCACTGCAGCACCAGCCGGCCACAATCATTTTGAGCTTGTGGTCATTCTGAGTTAGAGAATTCGAGGTAATGTTGGGCGGCCGACCGATATGAGGCAGATTTGGAAGCTTGTACGTTCTGAATCCATTCGTAGCAGCGCCTCATTGTAATTTTGTGGGAGGTGGGAGGAATTATTGTGCGCACTTGAAAATTGCGAACAGCGAAAATGCTGGTGGACACCATGTACCAGACCAGTCTTTGGAACTTCTAAATTTACACGTAGTTGAGAATCTTTTATTGTGGACCTATGTCGACAAAAAACTTGGAAATAAAAGTGCTATTTACTAACTGGAGATACCTACACATATGAGCGTTTCATTATATTCGTCAAGACATATAGCAAACGAATAGACGCCTAACAAGATAATTAAATGAGCCACCGAACAAGGGATGTATAAGGAAGATCTAAACTGGATATCGCGTTGTGGTGAGTTCTTCTGTCCTAAATCCAACAACGTAAGTGCATGAATTTGTAAGAGAGAGAGAAGTATTGGGGCTGGGATCAAAGTTAGTTGACGATTTGGACCTAAATATTTCCACTATCATTGATGAGCCAGGTTTCCTATGTACGTACAACACCATGATGGTGAAAAAAACAGGGCGCACGTGCTGTTCAGGGTCATATTCCAAATAAAACATGTGGTGTTTAAATCTGGATACTCTTAGTCCTCAAAACCTGTTCGCTGGACTAATTGTTCTGTTCCTGTCGCGGCATTTTTAAGGTGTCCTCTGACAGTTTTCAGCGAACAAGGACGTTTTCCTCACTCTAAGTAATATTACCGTGCGATTGGACCGTGTTGGTTTCACATGACTGGCTCATCCGGACCAAAACCGCTTCGCGCCGTTCTCCTGTGCGATCAGCCGTCCTTTTCCATGTTTTATCGATTTTTCGTCTAACCCAAGCGCGTTAGTCAGCGTTTGTCTTGATGGTCTAAACGCGAGTCGTGTAGGTTTAACCCCCTCCCACGCCTTGTCGAAGGTGGTTTGGTCGCTCAGGCTTCTCCCACCTTGTATGTTAGCGCAAAAATTGCGACCCTTATGGGTCATTCATGCGCGCTGGCACACTTACAAGACAGATTGACGCTTGCCTGAACGACCACCCTTCCTGTCAAGGCAGAAAGCTCGTGGTCCCCACCACTATTGGCAGTGCCGAGTAGACGTCGTTGTGCGCACGCACGTGTGGTTGTGTTGCCCTCCATGGTCTGACACACACGATGCGTTTGGTCTTCGTAGCCGTCCCAAGGCTAGCGTCTCGACGACACATGTGCTAGTCTGTTTGGAAAGTGCACAGGAGCAGTTAGCAGTTCTGGCAGTCCACTTAGTGCAGTCATCACATGGCCCAGCATCAACAGCCGATTTGAACATGTTTCAAGCGACCGATGGCAATGCGAAGTACAAGTCAGAGCGAGTGCATTCCGCACCAGTGATTCCGTCGAGAAAGAAAGAGAATGGTCCATGCTCAGGACTCTCGCTAGATGTACTAAAGACCGAGTGTCTTGAAGAAAATTCAGATGTCATCTGCTTGGATGACTGCTCCACTCATGATATCACGAAGAACTGCGAAGATGAATGGGAGACTGCCTCAGAATCCAGCCACATAGACGAGTCCGGAACTGTGGATGAATTTTTAGATTTAAAACCATGCAAACAGTGTTCGGTTGCCTTTGAGCATTCGCTGGATATATGGATGGATCACCTGGTTGACAAGCATCCTATACCGAAATGGTGGCCAAGTGCTCGTGCTATCAAGTACGATCATCCCTACACCGCAGTAGTAGGTTCAAACAAGAAACGTCGTACCCACGTCGTCCCAAGACCTTTGAACAGCTTTATGGTAAGTAGTTGCAAACTTGTTGTCCGTCCACTGTTATGCATTGAACACCTCACTTCCCTAGATCAAGTAACTGTCCTGTTTTAATAAAGAGTAGTGGAGAGCGAGCTGAATTCTCTTAGGAGTTCGGCCCACGGTAGACGAAGCTTTGACGGTAATAATCAACCGACCTTTTCGCAACGGTCCAGCACGAAACACCAGTCCCTGAAAGTGAAATATGACAGTGATTGTTTGCAACGCGCTGCAGCAGTTCAGCTGAGGTCATATATATCAACACTTTCTAAAGTCTTTCCAAAACAAACCAGTAGATTTATAGGATAGCCATGCATCATATCAGAGGTGGGTCTTCAGGAAGTTGGTGGTTGAAGATGAACGAGAAAATGCTTGACTCACACAACCGCCGCTCACCGTATGAAGAAGTGTCGGCGTTCATGAGGAAAGGAAGGTTGTACTTACTGGCTAGTATCTGTACGGACGCCCAGAAAGCTACGTTTAAACTCCAAACCCTACATTACACACTTATACAGATGATAGTTTCAGGGATTTCCATGGTACAATTTAGAGCAATACAGTTCGATACCTCTTCGTCGGACTCGGGCCCTTATCCTTGATCTATGATAATGTTAAAAGTCTCCAAAATTACTTGACGGCGGACTGGAAAAGTGAGCTTTTGTCGTCGTCGTTTACGCATGCCACTTCAAGCTCACTTGTGCGAGAGAGGCATTAGTCTGCACTCACTGTGATCTCATTGGCATCTCAACACTTGATAATGCGGAATTTCAGTCCACCAGAGGAAACTGGACAACTATAGTTGTGCAGCACGGCCCAGCCAGCTAGCGGTGTTTCGGTGTCTGCTGCATAGTATCTGCTACACGACCGAATGCCTTTATCACGTTATCAGTTTGCTGATGCACTCAAACACCGTTAAAGACCTGAATATCCTTTCATACCTCCACTCGCATACTTCATTTTAATCTGTTTGGATGTGCATCTCATAGCACTTCGGTACACAGCTTACTTCCTGGTAGGGTCGAGATGGACCAAGTGGTTGGAGCGCGAATTTACTGACCCGAAGGTCCGTGGTTCGAACCCGATCTCTTCCTCTTGACTTCCCCTATCTAGGCTTGGGCAACCTGGCAGTATCCCAGCCCTTGTGCAACCTTAGGGTGGCACGGCAATTAGGCACCGGAAGGGTGCTACAGCTGTACGATTTTCTTTACTTTTGCAATCCATCTGGCAACTTACATATGCACTACAAGATCTATGGGTACGATCCCGTTGATGTGCAACAAACGACTCCACCTCACTTCCTTCGGGTAGCATGGTAGGTAGGCATATGAAGGGTGCTACAGACGAAAGGTATTTTATATATGTATATATATACTTCATCCTAATATAAACAGTTTTTGCACGTTCTGGTACGCCAGAAGGTTAACTTTAGCAAAACTTTTCGTGCAATCAGTTGCCACCTCTTGTGCACAAACAACCTTTCAACCGTAAATGAGTTTCTACTGCAAAGAATGGAAAGCTAGAGGAGATACCTAATCCGTATGAAGTTGGGGCCAGAATCAATGTGTGGATGGTAGTTAACTAGACAAATCTCCGACTAATAAGTTCCCTAATATAGGTAAAACACAACGCACGCACCATGTCCAGAAACTCCTCTGAATAGGCCTGATTGACACGGAACGGATTTACATTCTATGGTGATGTCTTCCTGTTCTTATCGAAAAACCTCACACCGTGGCATATCTCCAGTGCTCCAGGTTATAATAATAATGATGAACATCAAACGGTGCCTAACTACCATGTCACTTGAAGGAGGCATGATACTGAGAGGCTGCTAGGTTGCCAAAACCTAGACAGGAGCAATCGAGATGCCTAGGTTAGGTTCGAAGTACAGACCTTCAGGTCCATGTTAGGATACGTAAATATAAGTATCGACTGAAATGACTCCTTTCCAAGTGGCCCTTCAGTCAAACCTAGGAAGACTCAACTGGGGTACGAACTCATCCTACACCTGTGTTGATATCAAACTGGATAAAGGTAATTCAACGGGGTGATCCCTACATCTCAGCAAATATGCAATTTTGCCCTAGAAGCAAAACTTGTCAGACAGTCCTTCATTATTGACCGATCTGAACTTTGAAGTGAAGTTTGTCTTTAGTTCGTACAGTGTTCTGTTCTGCCGAACAACATTTCGCGTTTGATTTTTCTCTCGGACAAATTGATAGCTCACAATCGCCGCACAAAGTACCGCATTACGCACCTCCGATGTATTTTTCCACAACTGCATCTACAAGGTAAGGTGTGAGACAGGTGCTTGTCTGCGATGCAGGGAGAATCTACATTGGTTTGTCTCCTGACAACCCTGTTTTCCATTATCAAGTGGTATTTCGATTGTAACCCTGAAAATTTTGTAGGCTGTGTGTATTAGGTAAGGAGCTTCATTTTGAAATTGCTTGAATGTAGATGATCAGTATCAAAGGACCTTTCCTATTGAGCTTTTGCTTACAAACTAAGGTACTACAGCAGCTTTTGGTTGAATTCGAACCGTAAGGGAATGAGTGAAAATAATCGGAAAATGTGTCACATAAACAACCACACATCAGACAAATTCCAAGCTGGTCTTGCATCGACATTCACTTTGAAATAGGCTCGAATAAGAAATATTCTTACCTAAATAACTAAAAGTGCACCGGCAGAAATGCTGGTATGCACGATGTGGGAATCTAAGTAGTATCGTATAGGACCGATGATGTACGCCGGTTATCCAGCCATTGTTCTACTACTCACATGCTCTACGGTGACTGCGTCTTCGTTGTGAATAAAACATCGTCTTGGATACCTTGGGTGGTGGTCATCCATGCTTGGGGGCGAGTTGGCTCAGTCATTAGAGAGCAAATTTACTGAACGGAAGATCTATGGTTAGAACTCAACCTATGCATCTCGACTTCCTCTGTCTAGGCTTGGGCAACTTCACAGTATCCCAGCCCTCGCCCCTCTTTCGGGTGGCATGGCAGCGAAAGGGTGTTACAGCTGAATGATCATTAGGGCTTCCTAGAGAGTACTGGGGATAACTTCTGGTCGTACTGTAATCCTGCACGTGAGACCAGAAAAATTAGACATCCTAGACATTTGACGTCGACCGTGACGGCCTTCAGTAAAGTTTACACTGTTCGATTGTCTGACGCCGGTAGTCCGTGTTCGATATCACCAACTTACTGATTTCAGAATCGGGCCTGTCCGTCTCCAAAGCACTAGTTGCCAACGTTGGATAGCGAAGTGTTTATTTCTTATAAGCGAATCCGTATGTGATGCTTGGAAGATGGCAATATCATTAGTAATCCTCACAACTGAATCTGTTTATACTCCCTTACTACTGCCTAAATATTGTTGCACCCAGTCGATTGCGTGCTTTAATAGGAAGCTCCACTGTTGGGAGTAAAGTTGTCCGATTGTTTTCTTAAAGGAACACTACTCACAAACTCTTCGATAGCCCACGACAGGCTTAGCTCCTCTTAGGGCTCATCAGGCAGACGTTATTCCAGAGTTTACGTTAACTTTGCTTTCTTCTTCCATCCAGAGTGATATTCAATTTGCAGTATACACGGATTCGCAAACTATTTCGGTTTTACCTGTCTTTATACAGTTATTCTCGTGAACACCAAAGGAGGAAGCACTGGACTCGAATTTCTTTCTTGTTAGCCCAGCAGCAATACGCCTCCTTGGCCGTGCCGAGGTTTGAACGCCGGACACCTGACATGTAAGGCAAGGGTGTTTTCACTACTCCACCAGCACAGGGATGGAAGCAAACGAATTATCGCTACTAAACAGGTGAATGTGTTCACCCTTGAACGAACTGATTCATTTACCCGACGTAATCAACACAACTAATCAAAAGTTGCTCAGCAGTTTTCGGGTCCAAGTGGTTAGAGCGCGAATTTACTGAATGGAAAGTTCGTGATACGAACCCGACCTCTGTCTCTCGACTTCTCCTGTCTAGGCTTGAGTGACCTGGCATTATCCCAGCCCTCATGCAACTTTCAGGTTGCATGGCAATTAGGCACCGAAAGGGTGCTACAGCTGAACGAACGAACGGACGGACCAGCAGTTTTCGAGCGTCCGAGGAATCACCTAACTACGAAGATCTGACGTGCAAGTTGATCAGTCGACCAGAGCGGTTGCTGGGTCGTCGTTCGAGGCTTGGAAATCTACTGTGATAATGGACCACTCCGCACGCATGATAAGAGGATGGTCTTGGCTTACCTGAAATCTGTACAGAGAGAGGGTTTTTGGACGCAGGATGCTCTGGGTCACCGAATAATGATTCAGGTGCTACTTTTGTCATCACAACACACTGAGTTATTAGTGTAGCCCGGATAAGGCGTAGATGGGCACGACAAAACTGATCGGACACAGCTGTTTCAACGTTAAGTGGAAAGCTATTAGCTTCAACCAGCAAGAGGACCATACTCTGAGCGGAATTAAGTCAACCGGATTACGAAATCCACATGTAACCATGACTCATCTGCTGGGCCAACGACTGTCATGGGAACAATGCTAGTGTTCGTGATCTCTAGGTATTTTTCATAATTTGAAAAGAGTAGAGATCTGCTCTTACCGAACAAACAACAAATTCAATGGGTTTTACCTATTTTTTCGCACAGAGTTCCATTGCTGGTCTGTCTTGTCTTATTTCCTCGTTTGAAGATATGCACACTGTCCATACTTGGCGGGTTACTTCGTAAGATTAGCGTCCATACACTAACAAGATGACGGGTCGATGTGTACTTTATTGTCAGTCTGTATCAAGATCAGAGTCACAAGGTGCCATTCAATTAACACTGGCTCCTTGGTCTTTCCTTTGCGATTGCCAAGATCGTATACATAAACTGACAAGGACTAAGGATTTTTAACGGATTCCACTCCAATTATCTGTCCGTAACTTTTCAGATAAACAAACAAACAAATTGTCACTTGAAGACAGGCTACTTATGAACTCCAGTGATGCCGAATTCACTAGACCAGAGATGTTATCCTCCCGGGATAAGCATTATTTATTCACCAGTCTTATCCAAACGTTGGAGAGATCGATGGTGGTACTAAACGAATAACTCTTGCGGAGGTTTTTATTCAGAATGAGTTGGTGATTTCCTCCTTCAATCAGTCCGATTTACTGTTCACGAACTCTATCTTCCGAAGTTCGGCGACCAAGTCATATCGACGCCTACGATAATTTCGCATGTGGTTTTACACCAGTTCCTCTTTGGGTCATCTAGCATACCCGAAAGTCGGTGTAATCTACGCAAGATTTCCACCTAAAAAAGCTCTACAATAATCCTTCTTACTTAAAAAACCCATCATCACGGTTCCCAGAAAAGTAGTGAGAAGCACCTAAGGCAAACGAGCTTGTTAAGCTTTTTCCCGTTGACTCCCATTCCGGTAGCTTGTCTGCGAAACATCGTGGGGTCTACAAAACTGTCACACTTAATGTAGCTGCTTGCCTGTTTCGGGAGTTTCACCATTCGTTTGCGGAAGTTTCGTAACCGTTTGAGGAGACAGGTCAGTGCGCTGTCAGGTGAGTTCTCGTTTTTATCCAGGTTATCTGCAAATATCTAATTTCGTCTCAAACGTCACTCCGTAATCTCACATTCCGTTTATTGGCTCATATTTACTCCACACTTTTACATTTCCACAGATTTTCGCACAATATATTCGGCGAGTTACACTTCGCTGGTTTCCTGAAGCACACAATGTTCACATCAGTCAACGCGTTGGATTTCTCTGGCGTCACATGCCTGCGGAGATTCGAGAGGAATACGCTAAGGAGGCCGTGCGGCTTCAAAGTCTCCACTCGTTCGAATTCCCTGATTACAAATATCGACCGAAAAAGCGTATTCGAGGAGACCGTTTTCAACAGCTTACCGATGAAACCGTGGATGTTCGTTGCGCCTCAAATGAACGTGAAAAAACTCAAAGTGACCGAAACAGTCCTTCCAATTTTCATGTCTGTCCCGATGTGGGTTTTTCACAGAATAAGCTCCCCGTAACGGTAACATCATCATTAACCAAGGAAATCCCACAAAATATTTCTGACAGAAAAGACGAAGCATCGTCCATCAAGAGTTTTGTGAATGATTCTTCCAAAGAGCTTGTGTTAAGAGATTTTGAGGCAGAAAGCTGGGAAGTAACAGCAGTCGAAAGAGGAAACAATACGATTCTAAAAGACGGACCACTGGAAGAAATGGAGTCCCGTTTTGTTTCGGCTGTTCCAGGTTTGTCTTCTTGGACTAATGTGAGGATGCAAACCCATGAAGGACATCTAAGTGCCCCACCAGAGTTCACGATACAAGCTTTATTAACTGATCCACTGGAAGTAATAACTCAACCGATACATTTAGTACCAATACCTCCATTAACCTATATCAGCTGGAGAGAAAGCGAGCGACTTGAGAACAGTCGTAAGTTATCAGGAGGCGCCGCCTCCTCAGGTCTAACACCGTCTCTTTCATCCATGTCACCCGACTCAATCGACCCGGAAGTAAAGTTAGCTGAACCCCAATCCGTGTCGCTTATATCCGCAAATCCCTCAATTGACCAGCGAATCGAATTATGGCCTGAGGGGTCCGAAACTACTGAGCCCAAATGGGATTTTTATTCAGATGGTCTACAACATTATTCAGATATTATTGCCTTCAACGTCCCGTCGCAAAAGGGTGACGGTCACCCAAACCCGTCAGTTGACTACGTCCAAACATCCAGTTTCGAGTTCATGAGTAAAGCTTGTTCTCGAACTACGGTTCCCGGGGAACATGAACCCACTGAAGTGGAGTTCATCGATCCGCCAACCATACTTAACATATCTGAATCTTTACCCAATGTCTGGCGACGTACCAGCGACACTAGTGTTATTGATATCAAAACTTTTTTCGATGAAAATGTTGTGGGAGATTCCGAAAAGTACCTACCCAGCATTGAATCCTGGACATTCGCTCCTCTTCCCAATCGATAGACTGAATTTGCGTCTTTCTTTGACAAACAATTGGCATTTCTTAGTATGACAATGGCTTCAACATCCACACAGTTTACATTTTGCTCTTATGAATCGACATTATCACTTGGTAAATGTTTGCGATCCGCGAATGTATTTCTATGCATGGAATGATTCTAATTTTTGCCTCACGTTTTTCGATAGAAGAAGCGTTACTTTATTGGATGAGTAATATTATATTTTTGCACGTGAAATTTTACAAAAGCGTATTTTGTGAAACTGTTCATTCTATATGCCACGCTGAGGGAAAATATTCTGGTGAGGTTGGTTGCTGACGCACCAGAAGGTAGCCTCATTGCAACCCTACCTGAAAGTACCAAATACCGACAGGCGCTTAAAAATCTTTGGTAGCTGGGGTTAGTTTATTGATCGCTGATCAGGTGACCAAGTTTGACAATTGGTTTGAAAGTGTTTCATTACCATTTGAGTAAGGATTATCAGGGCGCTGACGATTTCCTTGGAATGATGATGAAACGCCTGAAAGCCAGTTACCAGGATCGATGGACGAACCAGTCATTACCTGAGCATGAACCGAAAACCAGCAGTAAATGTAAGGCGAATTCCGCATTGCAATGTTCTTCAGCGAGGTGTTAAGTTGAAGTCACGGAGACTCGAACAGTAGATAAACAGGAATGCTGGCCTTGGACGTTCAAAACCTGACATTCTACATGAGGTAAGCTGTACATCTTTTTTTACTTGAAAAGTGTAATCACATGGGATTTCGTTTGAAATATTCTTATCAACAACTCTGGAACTCACTCTGAAAGTTTCTTAATGTGAATGTGACGAGATTAAAACGTGTGCTCGTACGGGGCACAGCACAGTGGGTTTCACCTTAAACGTAAGACTACGTCAGAGTCCAGTGTTCTTAGCAACTCACACTATTTTAACGGTATAGTTAGGCACAGAAACCGATAAACACGTCTTTTGTGATGGAGTCCCAAAACTACCAAAACTTTACATGCAAAGAAAGTCTGATCGGCACCCATCTGCAGGTGACCTGCTCCGTTGTCTATAAATCTCGTGCCCAACCCCAGACGACCGCCCAATGGGAATCACCAGCGCTTGGCCTATTTAGTTTCGCGTTCGTGTCATTTGCAACCAAATCTGTGTCCAAATTTTAGCCCGCTATGACAGAAGATCTAGAGTGTCATAGAAGTCCTGCTTGGCAGATTCAGAGCTGCATCCCATAGAGGAGTAAGCAGATACAACGAACAAGGAGTGATGGAACTAACTTTTGAGATTATTTTACAGTTACTACCAAACGAACCGCGCAGAGGCGACTATCAACAGGTATGCAGTCAAGTGCAGACGCTTCCACTGGATGACTCAACACAATACCCATCCAGGCGAACTTAGGTGTAGCGACCACCGAGTCACCAGATGTGCACAACCGGAATCGATAACAGATCGGAGAGATAGTCTGTTCAATTACACTAATTGAATCCCAGATCCTTGTTTCCGACAGACGGAATACATCAATACTGAGCTAATCAAGGGTACTACTAAGAGCCTCACGTTGTACTTTTTGCTTCAGTGTATGAAGTTTACAGGGAGCTAAGTAGACCGGCTTTCGGGGTTTGAAAGCTGAGTTTGAAGTGTTTCTAATCGCTACTGAACATAGACGCACGGGAGCTGAATCTGAGCTTGGTGCATAGCGAACAAAAAACGTGAGAACCTGTAGAGAGTATTCGAATTGGGTTGAGTGGAGCAGAAAATATGCGAAAGTGTAGGAAGGTAGACAGCAGTAGCATGCCCTTGCTCATCCTGCTGTATGCAGCTGATGACACCACGCGACAGTCAATGTGGCATAACTGTTAATTTCAAATGTTAATTTCATTGTTGTTCCCGGGCTGGGATACTGTCAGGGCGTCCACACAGACAAGACGATTAGGGTTCTCAGCCAAGGTCTTTGGCTCAAAAGCCCCACTGCAAGGCGGCGGCTGGGTGCATGCATAGTACTAATGCTACTACTATTATCGTTTATTTTTGGAGAGCATGGTCATAAACATGAAGAGTAAATCCACGAGGGAGATGTTGAAGGATATACAGGAGGGTATTATATAAAACTAGGGAACCACTTCATTCGAAGGCCTGCCACCAAGTGGGACAAGATGAACCCCAACGTATGTAAGAATGTTTGGTATGGAAACACGCGTGTAAAGACCAGCAACTGAAGAAAGCGAAATGCTCCTCGAGGCGCAGAAGGCACTACGACAGTCAAGACAGTCAAGGTACAAATCCTTCGTCGTACTGGGTCACGTGTGAAAGCCATTGGAAAGAACACTCAACGTCATGTACCACACAAGAGTGTCGTAAGTACGTGGAAGGCCCAAAATGGCGAGTAAAACAAGTCACTGACTGTGAGCGTAATACTTCTCAGTGCAGTAAAGACCTTGGCGGATTGACGAAAGCAGATCCTCCGATAAGAAATGATCATCAGTTGCCGGACGAAAAAGTCGACATCGCAACCGGTTACACGTAGGAATAAGATGATGGCGAGGAAACAATCATTTCCGCTTCTCCTTATTTTACACAGTCACTCCGCACCCATCCGAGACTATGCTTACGTCCAACACAGTTGCTCTGCGCTTCCGAACGACAGTTAGGTCAGGATTTATGAAGGATGTCGACGTAGCTGCTCTCAACTCCTCAAAGACGGTAATGCTTTGCGAGTTCCCTTGCAACTCGATCATGACGATCTAGTTAGTGGCGTGACCCAGCAGAACTGCAGAGTATCCACCAAACTCTCCGGTTCAGCACAGCTTCCCCAACAGAGGATAGTTTTGGCCACCAAGACCACGCCGTGCGCTTCTAAATATTTTCCCGTGAAAGTTTAACCGGCGCTGGATATCAAGGAAACACTCGTTATAGAAACACTGGCCATTGATTTGGTAGATATGAAGCGACCAATTCTCGTAAACCGCGACCGTTAATGCTGTTGTGTAAACTATCGCCCCGAGCAGCCACCAGCTTGTCCTTGGTGCTTACGCATGCACTCTGGACTCGAATCAGAAAGCTGAGATTCAGAACAAATTTACCGAATGCGTGATCATTGACCACATTGCATAGCACTCGAAACTTAGTAGACAGAAGCTTTTACATATGCGCTGTCCGCTGCATCGGGATGGTTGCACTCAGATTTGGGATACCAATTCCCCCATCTTGTTTACCGGCGTGGACGTGGCTGATCAGGGTGTCCTTCGGTTGACTTGGCCAGCCACGAATAGATTGCCTGATGTAATTGTCCAATGTGCTTAGCCAAACACGCGCGAATATGTCAGCCGTGGTACCAATCAGTTCCTTGTGATATCCATTCATTTATGAGGCTCCTTCGGTTGAGCCAGCCACGAATAGATTGCCTGATGTAATTGTCCAATGTGCTTAGCCAAACACGCGCGAATATGTCAGCCGTGGTACCAATCAGTTCCTTGTGATATCCATTCATTTATGAGGCTCTAATGGGCACGGATCGCCTCCTCAGGCAGTTGAAGCGGCTGCTGTCGGTAGTTGCATACTCTCTTCCCCTTGGAAGTAAAGGGGATGACAAAAGGCGTCACGGTGTCTGTCGGACTCGGAGAATTGCGGATTTCCTTGGCGAACCACCTCTTCCCAACTCGACAGCATCAGCATCAAGCTGCTCTTTAAGGCGAGTGTGAATTTCTGCACGTACGACCCGGTAGTCCGTGAAGGAAAAACCATGCATACACTATGGTATTATGCATCTGGTATCCTAGTTGCGGCATCAGCAATTCAAGAAACTAATCCACTGTCATGATGACAAATAGGGGGGTGGGGTGAGGGATCTCCCTACCTCACACCTCTGCGGCAGTGAACCTCGGAACTGGGAAGGACTGCTACAGCCTTCTCATATGACTATGCGGTGTTCCGAACCGGACGTGAAGTTGCCATAAACGCCCAAGTAGATGAGAAACCAAAGCAAACGCTTTCGAGATACCAACAAACGCCAGACGGAAGTTAGAAACAACAGCTGAGGAATTATGAGGCAGGGTGTGTAAGAGCGATGTAGCTTCCAAACAACCGTCCCGATATAGAAATGCAAACTGGAGTAAGGGCAGTCGCATTTTACGGTTCCAGCTATCAGTAAACACTTAGTGAAACCATCGAATAAGAATGGAGATCGGCGTCAGTTGGTTTGGTGAAGTCTGACTTAAAACCTTCGGAAATAGGGCAGTACGAGCACGACATAAGCGCTACGGACAATTCCCTGATAATAAGCTGCGGTGAACATTGACTCTATTCTATTCATTTAGTGTATTTTTATATGCTTTTGTTTTACGATGCGATTGATAGTACGCCCGCGATATACGAGAATATATGATATTCAATTCATTCTATTCGGACTTCTATACTACGCGTACATTCGGTAGTTACGATACCTACCACTATTCTAGTTATCACATTTGGCGTCGCGATCCGGAATTTTTTTCTCTTCATCACAATGTTATCTGAATTGGAATCGCTCAGTGTAAATTCAACTGCACGGGAGGTGGAGGATTATTTGGAACGCTTCAGCATTTGGTGTCTTACCAAATCGGATCTGGATGATGAAAAGAAGACAGCTTATTTCCTGCACTACATTGGGAAGGATGCCTATGCTCTTGTGAAGAATTTATCATTCCCTACGGCGCCGATCGATTGCACATTCGATGTTCTAAAGAAGTTAATTCTCAGTCATTTTAAGCCTGTCAATTTTGTGGCCGCAGAACGAGCGAAATTCAATTCGCTTATTCGATCCGAATCTCAGAGTATTCGTGATTTTGTCCTCCAACTGCAAACACAGGCTGCAAAATGTG